GAGATAGACACAATGCCTTTATTTTATTTATTTTTATGTGGTCCTGAGCATGGAACCCAGTTCCTCACATGTACTAGGCAAGTCCTCTACCACTGAGCCACAACCCAGTCCCTTTTTGTTTTTCATTTTGAGTCAGGGTCTCATCAAGTTTCTGAGGCTGATCTTGAACTTGGATTCTTCTGCTTCAGCCTCCTGAGTCACTGGGATTACAGGTGTGCATCACTGTGCCTGATTCCTTACCCCACCCACCTTGTACCAGGGATTAAACCCAGGGGTGCTTAACCACTGAGACACATCCCCAGCCCTTTTTTATTTTATATTTTATTTAGAGACAAGGTCTTGCTAAGTTGCTTAGGGCCTTGCTAAATTGCTGAGGCTGGTCTTGAACTTGTGATCCTCCTGCCTCAGCCTTCAGAGTTTCTAGGATTACAGGCCTGCACCACCACACCAGGCTCCTCTTTTTTTTAACATATCACTAAGTTTTTAAATATTGTGTCCCTAACCCCATTTCCCCATTAATCTTGTGAGTTTTACTGAACAATGACTTTTAGCTTCATTGCAGCATAAATTATTATATTGCTGTTTGAGGAAAAAATTAATCAATGATCAAACTATATTTTTCAAAGATAATATATATAGGCAAGTCCACTTATGCTTCAAGTCTTTCCCTATAAGCTCTCTCCTGAACAGCTACTTTCTTCCAGAGGTTTACTCATTGACTAGATAGCGCCCAAATCCAATAGCAGATCTGGAGTAAGAAAGATATCATTCACCTCACACACTCACAAAAGTTTAAATTTCTCAATCACTAGAGCATTATCTTCTAAATTCTGATTTGGAGGGGACTGGAGATGTAGCTCAAGAGTAGTGTGCTTGTCTGACATATATGAAGCCCTAGGGTTAACCTCAGCACAACTAAAAAAATTTAAAATAAAATAAATTTGGACCTTGATTCTAACAGAAAATCTTGACATGAACTATTGTAAAATGTCCACTGTTCAATAATGGAATGTTCAACAGCTATTCAATTTCTACCATGGAAAGTACATATGCAGGAAAACAATTAGTTCTGCAACACAGTTTTAACAGAATGACAGAAACCACAGAACCTTTACAAATACTCCTAAATCTTGACAAACTCAGAGGTTAAGGAGTATAGTGAAATGAAGGAGGTCATACATCTTTCCTCATTTCTATGCAGAACAGAAACAGGACAGATTGAACTATGAGCTGGCAAAAACCTGTTACTCGGAGTAAAAGGGCAGGTAAAAATAATGCCACTAGTGAGGATACTCAGATATGATGGAGAACCGAATTTCYGTACCTTCTTGAATAAACCTGGACTTACAACTAGGGCTGATACAAAAGTAACAAACATGAGTGTAACACAGCAAAGATTTAGACATTACAGCCATAATTCTGGTACTATTTCTTAAAGAATTAAACACATTAAAATTTAAAATTATTTAGATTTCTGTTTATATACAAATGTACATATCTGCAAAAAAGAAAAAAACAAAACACATTAAAATGGCAACAGTGGTTAACACTTAGTCAGATGACAGATTATTTTTTTCTTGTCCATAGTTTTCATTATTTCATACAATGAATGCTTACCACTTTTATTATCACAGGAAAACAATTTTTTAAACAGCTAAAACACGTGATTCTCAATCACAGTTCATATGTAAAATTAGTAGTAAATCACCAAATGTCTCTGCTACTTCACAAAGGGCCAAAGGTGAGTGGGCACTTTCCCTGTCATGCAGAAAACAGGGAACTCTGAAGGATAACTCTTAGCCACAAAAATAAGGACAAACACAAGAATGGAGATTTTATGCCTAGCAGAAAAGGACTTGCTTGTCCCTTCTATTATCAGCTGGCGTTATGGTGACTCCTACTGGCATTCTGAAAAATCCCCACCTTTAGGGTAAAGCTAATACATAGTCAACCAAATTTCATAATGTCTGATTGCAGAAAATATGGGAAGATGATCTAACCAGATCTAATCAGTCTCCAAAGCCTAAGATACATTGTAAAAGGTCACTGTAGATTTTCTAACCAGCTTTCTCTCAATCTCCTTAGCACAATGATGATGAATATTCTTCTCCACTGAGAAAGCACATATAGTAAGTATCTCCCTTATCCAAGGTTGCTTTTCTCGTAGTTTCAAGTCACCCTTAGTCAATCATAGTCTGGAAATGTTAAATAGAAAACTCAAAAACTAAACAATTTACAGGTTTATAATTGTACACCATTCTGAGTAGCACGGTGAAATCACACTGCCCCAGCATATCTATGCTGTTTGTGCTACCTGTCACATAGTAGCCATCTCAGTTATCAGATCAACTATAATAATACAGCAGTTTTATTGTTCAAATAACTCTTATTTTACTTAATAATGGTCACAAGCACAAAAGTAGTGATGCTGGCAATTTGGGTATGCCCAAAATAAGCCATAAAATACTCTCTTTAAATGAAGAGGTAAAATTTTTCAAATTATTAAGAAAAAAAAATATGATGAGGTTGCTAAGATTTATGTACAATATGACATTTTGAGAAAGAAACCACATTCACATAATTTTATTACAGTGTATTACTAGAATTGTTCTATTTTGTGATTGTTTATTGTTAATCTCTTATTGTGACAAATTCATAAATTAGACTTTACCMTAGGTATGCATGTACAGGAAAAAAAAAATAGTAGGCATAGCATTTGGTACCATCCATGGTTTTGGGAATCTCCTGAAAGCCTTGCAGGTAAGGGAAGACTACTCTAAAGGTTAACCATTAGGCACTTAGCTGGTGAGAATACAAAAGAAATAAGATGTAGTCATTCCCTTCATAGCATTCACAAATCTGATGAGGAATGGTATGACATACATATTAGAAATATTTAGATAATAAGAGAATGAAATTAAAAGGCTAAATGAACAGATAAATACTTAAGATCCTTAAAGGAAGAACTACTCAATACAGACTTAAATAGTAGGCTTCTTGGGTAGCTAACATAAGCAGGCAGGGTCACTAACATAAGCAAAAACATTGAGGCAGAAAAAACAATGAATGATGAGCCTGCATGGACTGGAATAAAAACCAGATTGGGAAAAATTTACAGTAGGGAAGGAGAGATTTGAGCAGAGTATATTTCCTCTTAAGGATATCAGATTAAGAACATTCATGGGGAAAATCTATGCTAAATATGATAGAGATGCAATATCAAATCTCATAATAATTCCAAAGTAGGTATCATTATTCCCATTTTATAGACAGAAACAAAGTAGTGAAACAGAGAAATTACCTAATTTGCCCAAGGTCATCAAGGTAAAAAAAAATAATACTGGTATTTAAACCTAGGCTACTTGAATCCAAAGTCCATGTTCTTTCCTTACCTCCCCGTGTTACCTTTTCCTAAAGAAGTCTCTAATAACATCACTCTAAACTCAAATTGTCTCCCCCTCATGGTGCATGCTTCCTTCTTTTTTGATTTTCCAGTGTCTCTATGGTGATCCCCCATACATAAATAAAAACCTGCTTTCAGGAGAATGATTGCAGCTAAAATAAAAATGACCTGTAATAGTTTACCTTGACAAAGGGTATTTTCTTTTCTTATTTTTCCTTTTTATTTGTTTTATTTTTTATTTTTTAATTTTTTTTTGCAGTACTGAGGATTGAATCCATGTCCTTACACATACTTAGCAAGTGCTCTGCCACTAAGTTATATCCCTAGCTCTTCATATTTTTGAGACAAAAATCACATTAAATTACCCACACTGGCCCCTGAACTCATGATTCTCCTGCCTCAACCTCCCCAGTAGCTGAGATCACAGGTATGTGCCATAATATCTGACAAAGGATATTTTCATTTTAACAAGGGTCTTCCTTTAAAAGAATGGTAGGACTGCATATCTTACCTTCTCAGGGAACCAGACCAAGGATATTATTAAACATAATGCACATTTACACAAACTATAGCTAAGATCCACACAGCAAAACTCACTATTAACAAACCCTAAGGGTCTCCATGAAAGTATAATCAGCCCCAATCTGGAGAAGAAGTCCATATGTGGCTACCAGTTTGCTTCAGAAGAGAAGTAAAAGTCTCACTATTTTACATTTTAAGAACATGATATTTTTAAAAACCTAAATTAAATATATTTGACATTTAAACTATTAAGTATTTCTTTAACAGATTGCTAAAAAAAAAAGTGCTCTCCAATAAGTTTATAAAATGAACTTTCATTGCCTCTGTGAACCAAGAGCAGCACAATCTTTACTACTCTCACCTTTTTGCCATCAAAGATCTTACATGTATCAAATGTCAAAAGTGTCATCTTTCTTTTTTAAAAAAAAAATATTTATTTTTTAATTGTAGTTGGACACAATACTTTTATTTCACTTATTTATTTTTATGTGGTGCTGAGGATTGAACCCAGGGTCTCACACGTGGGAGGTGAGCACTCTAGCGCTGAGCTACAATCCCAGCCCAAAAAGTGTCATCTTTCAAAGGAACCGAAACAAAATTCATTTGGGATCTCAGAGTGTGTAAAGTCAAGTAGGTAGAAGATCATGGCACTGCCAGAGATTGCGCCATGGCACTTACTATGGAAATAGTCTTCCTGATTATTCATGTGCTAAAACCAGAATACAGTCATAGCTAGGTCAAGGGTAGCCTGATAACTTGAAAGTTCCCCACCAGGTATTTTAATACGCCAAGGAATCTTATGAGTTCCAAAATGTGTTTTGGAATGAAACATAAGAAAATTTCCAGCCCACTGGAAAGCTTAGAAATTATATTGAATTCTATATTTTACATAGAATATAAAAAGTAATTTGAAAACAAAAGTGATATTGTTTGGTCTTTCTCAACAAAGGTTGTTATACCCCTCATTCTACAGAAATCACTTTCTAAGAAATTCTCCTTTTATCAATGTTCTAATATACATGCTAAGAGATTTTAGGGATAGAATTATTTTCAAAGAGGAGAACATAGTTCTTACATATCTGGATGGCTCTTCTAGGTTCTGATCATTCATGTCAGTAGGAACAACCCGGGTAGCCAGTGGTCCCTCTGCAAAAGGTTTTGGTAACTGACCTCTGAACTCTGATGGAATGAACTGAAGCTGCCAACTGTCAGAAATACAAATAAGAAGAATAAGAAAAACACAAGGGGATCATATTGCTAAATGTACTTGAAACAAACAAAAATCATGTGAAGACATTTCATTTGAAGAAAAAAATATTTCTGCTAAAACCTTAACCAGGGAGCATAAAGGCAGAGGTCACAATTTAATCCAAAAATCATTGAGAAATTTGTGACTAGAGGTCTCTTAATCCTTTTCACCAAGTTTCAGAAGTGAAATTTGCTACCAGATGGTTATATCATGAAACAACCAGAGAAATGTCAAAGTTTATTGCCAATTACCATGTGATCAAAGGGACTTATTAAAATTAAGGCAAACTCATCAGATATAATGAAAAAGATGAAATGTGATATTGGCACTAAGAACATGCTAAGGGAGCAGAACTTTGTTACTGAATAATCCTTAAAAGTATCTTCAGTTATGAAACAATTTCAATTGTAAACAGCAAAGGCCAAAGTCAACCCCTTAAAAAATAAGTTTTAATTTGTTACAGGATTTTTATTAAGCATAATACTACTACCAGGTAAAGCTAAGCTGCTGAAGCCAGTCTTAAATGGAACAATATGACTCATCTTAACCAGACTTCCCTTTTACATAAATAGGACCAAAATTAAAAAAAGAATTAAGGAACTCCAGGGCATATGTTATCAAATCTAACAACAGAGTAAAGGAAACTGGTACAGATGTCTTAATAATAGCTTTCCCCAGTGTTCATACATTGGTGAAAAACTTATTGTTTGAAATAAAAAATTCTTCTCTAAAAATACTTTTCTAGCTAGAGTTTCTAAAGACCCTTTAGGAAGTGGATTAATATCAAATAATTACAGAATKATAAACAGGAATTTTCAGAATGAGTTGTCAGCAGAAGCCTAGAGCCCAGAACATTTTCAAAAGTCCTCTGACATTGTAGATACAAGCAGGGGAGGGTGCACACCCACACATGGCACCTAGTCTAATGAATACAAGAGATGGGTGTGTGGTGCAGATTCCACAGCAATCAGAGACAGAAATGATTCAATAACTTTCTGTAAAAACTCCAAAGCAAAACAAAAATTAAAAAGCCCCTGCCATATGGGCTGGGGATACAGCTCATTGGTAAAGTGCTTGCCCCGCATGCACAAGGCTCTGGGTTCATTTCTCAGCACCACCAAAAAAAAAAAAGTCCCTGCCATAAGATTGCTAATTTTATTCCTTGATTTAAAACTCTGGGAATTAAAGGGTAACTTACTTTTCTGGCAGAAGGAAGCTGCTGGGAAATCGATACCACTCTTTTCCCACACAGACATTCACAGGTCTGCCTTCTGGGACAGTGTGGATAGTTGGGTCTGTAGCAATTCTGTAAAATTCTGGATACAAATCAAGGGGCCCATGGTATCCTGGAAGGAAGGAATAGTCAATAAAAGCCAAAGATGAGTAAGATGAATTTCTGACATGTAGTTATAATACATGTTAATGTTCCACTATAATCCACATAAAATTTAAGAAGTGTGAAGGGCCAAGCCTGCCCTACACATAAAAAATGTCTCTTTTTTAGGAAGATGGCTATAGCAGAGACCCTGTTTTGCCAAATATAAGGGCTTTCTTGCCCTTCTCCATACCCTTTCCCCTTTAAACATCTTGTTTTTTCAGCATACTTTCATATTTTAGATCCCAATAATGATTGTAAGAAAATATAAGCATGAGAATTTAGCACAAAGTTTAGGCTTCCTTAATTCATCAATAACCATTAAAAGGGAGGGAAATCCATAAAAACAGAGAAAAAATGTGTAGTTAATCAAACCAAGAGGAATTCTCAATCTCTTTTTCAATCATGAGGTAAAGAAGTCACATCCTACCCGTTATTAATTCTATATGCTCCCCCTTCAAGAAAGACCTTTTCTTGCTGGGCACAGTGGCACACACCTAAAATCCCAGTGACTCAGGGGGATGAGGCAGGAGGATTGTGAGTTCTAAGCCAGCCTCAGCAATAGTGAGGCGCTAAGCAACTCAGTGAGACCCTGTATTTAAATAAAATACAAAATAAGGCTGGGGATGTGGCTCAGTGGGTGAGTTCCCCTGAGTTCAATCCCTGTGCCACCCCCTTCCCTCAAAAAAAAGAAAGACCTCTTCCTAGCATAAGCTGAGTATGTATTAAACAAGCCTGCATGAAGGGAACCCTGAGGTGAAGAGCCTTGTGAGGGTGAGTTAAGATACCCGTATAGCACATCTACCTCTGAATAGTGCCACAGAGCGGGAAAATGATAAAAGCCCAAAGAGGAAGACGGTTCCTAAGGCCAGCCAATTTGATGTCACAGTATAGTGCTCCAGGCGATATCGTTGAAACACGAAGTGGTAACATTTCTAGAAGGAAAGAAAATTGTATTGATAAAAGAAGATACACCTTGCAGAATTCACATAATCATGAAACATCACAGAAAAGCCAAGAATGCAGAGATTGAGTCTGAGCAGGAACGCTTAGAAAGGAATCCTTTCCAAATACAAAGATTAAAGCCAAGTCCTCTAATACTATCTGGGGGTCAGCCTATCTGGCTTGCCAATACTCTTACTAGCTTTCAAGAAAATTATTTAGATATTTTGCTTGTACTTAAAGTCCTAATAACTTATTTTAAATTATTTTTAAATGCTTTTTTGGTAGTTTTCCTTGACATATGAAGTATTTCAATCTGTTTTGATATAAGAATTTATCTTTACTTCCTTACCCTCAAGTTTTCATTGAAGATTTTAATATGAACAAAATGTCTCATGACCAAACAAGAAAAAAGAATTCCTTCATAGAACACTAGGAACATGTTGTTAATTATTGCTTAACAACTTAATAAACTAGATGGTTATATAATATATATACATGCATGTATGAATTCTGCTCTTTTTGTGTATATGTGATTCTGGGGATCAAATCCAGGGCCTCCCACATGCTAAGCATGTACTTTACCTCTGAGCTATATCCCCAGCCCATCTGCTATCTTTAAGTACCTTCTCCTCAGATTTCTTTTTTTTCCTTCCTTCCTTCCTAGATAGAACCTACTTCTGGAAATAAGTTTAGCAACATATAACAAATGCCGTAAATATGTAGAGTGCTTTTAATATTTTAGAGAAGAGCTGGGAATGTGGCTTAGTGGTAGAGCAACTTGCCTAGAATGGGTCAGTCCCTGGGTTTATGTCCCAGCACCACTAAAAAAACAAATGGGGCAGGAGTTGGGAATCTATCTTAAGGAAATAATCTAAATACCTGAATGAAAATATTTAAATAACTAAATGAAAATATTTATTCTACTAGTAGTTATAATGCTAAATAAATGAGTAACCTAAATTCTAACATGAATTATATCTAATCATTGTTCTACATATTACCAACTCAATATGTTATATATGTTATATCCAATTATTTTACACTATACCCAAATCAAYAGAACATTATACTGCTATTTAAATGATGGACATAGAAATGGCAACACAGACAACATTATGACATAATACCAAGTTAAAAAGGATATAACGTTATATGCACACTTATTATTATAATCATAATAAGCCAATGCTAGAAAGTGTTTTTGTTAAAAGGTGAAGAATTTTCACCACTTTCTAAATTATCTGAAATGAAATTCAGTTACTTTTGTAATTGAAATTATTTTTAAACTATCATTCTACAATGGATAAACCTTGAAAACATGCTAAGCGAAAGAAATGAGTCATATATTTTATGGTCCATTTACATGAAATGCCCAAAACAGGCAAATCTACATAGAAAATAGATTGCTAATTACTTAGGGATGAGGAGCTATGGAAAAAAAGGTAGAAGTAATGATAGTCAAAGGGTACAGAGCTTTTGAAATGATGACAATGTTCTAAAATTCACTGTGGTAATGATTGCATATATCTGTGAATATGTTAAAAACCACTGAAATCATACACTTTAAATAGGTGAACTCATGGTTTGTGAATTTTATATATCAATAAATCTGTTAACAATAAAACATCAAACAGAGTCAACAACAGTGAGGCGCTAAGCAACTCTAAATAAAATGCAAWATAGGGCAGGGGATGTGGCTCAGTGGTTGAGTGTCCCTGAGTTCAATCCCCAATACCCACCCCCCAAATAACAACAACAACAAAAATCTATCATCTATTTTTTTTTTCTCCCAAGTGAAAATGACACCAGAGGGCAAGAAAGTATCCAGAGGTTGCTGAAGCCATAAATACAGAGATATTCAAAGTGAAGATTAGCTCTGACAGGGAATTGACCTGGACAGGTTTTAAACCAGGATTACATAACTGCCTGATGTAATCCCAAAGTCTCTAGCAAGTTTTAGTCTGATCCAGCAGAGCAGACATTTGTTAGCTCTGCTCAGGTGCCACTATCATGTGACTTAAAAATGTACCTTTATGGGATACAGTTGTGGCTCAGTCATAGAGCACTTGCCTAGCACATGTGAGGCCCTGGATTCAATCCTCAGCATCACATAAAAAATAAATGAATAAAAAATAAAGCTATAAAAAAAATTACCTCATAAAAAATGCACCTTTATTAGCAATTGGATTCCTGTTGACAATAGAGACAAATTACAACAAAAATTAATAATGCAAATATTTAATTAGCAAATAAGAATATGATAAATAGCTTTATCGATACATAAATTTTTAATAATATGATCTGTATTAGGTTTAACATTATGGGTAAAATATCTTAGATGGATGTACTCTATAATTTGCTCTTAAGTTTTATGAGCAATGATTTAATAAGTGAAACAGAATGAGGCACAAATGTTTTTCCCTGAAACTTACCTGAAGTGCAGAAAGAGCTACAGCACCACAGAGACATATAAGTGGATATACAGGGAAAAGGAATCTCTCCTCTTTGTGAGGCTGGATGAAGAAAATCATAAACCAAATATACATTGGAGCCAAGGTAAGCCAGTATGGGTGGCCTAAATTCTGAACTGCAAGACACAGAAAAATAGTCACCTTTCATCATATTAGAATAAATTAACATCTTTAGTCTCAATGAGTTCTTGATCTTAAATTTGGAAGTATATCCAAAGGCACATCATAAAAATGTTGCAGCTAGTATATTCTCATTTTCTCCAAACACATCAATAAAAAGAAGAACACACTCCTTAACTTTACCAAGAAAATCTAAAATTTAAAGAGAGATACAATACTGGGTGTGGCTAGAGCAAAATGAAAATTGGGTTAATGGTTAATATAACTTAATAAATTCTACACTGGGTGAAGAAAGAAAGCCTTTTCCCTCTAACGAGTCCCACCATTAAGACTAAAGACTAATCATTCCTAAGATTAACCAAAAGCCTAGTGTAAACCCACTTCTTGAGTTTTACTTCCTATGTTTAAACATTAGTTATTTTTATCTGTACACCAATTGTCTAATTGTTCAAGCAGACCTAAATCAAAAGAAAGCAAAACAGTTGGATTCTCAAACCCTTTCATCGAGCCACAAATGACAGCTGTTTTAAGGTAAACGTGAAAATACTCTTAAAGAAAGTTCACTGATTTTCACTTTTCTTCTATAATATCCAACCAACTCTGAATCTCAAATTAGAAACAAAATGTACTTAAAGCATGTAAAAGAATTAAAGGAATGTAATGAACACTAAGATCCAGGCACCTGCTGGAAAGTTCCTGTGGTTAGGTACATGAGCACTGAATAATAAACCTGAATAATAAACTGAATAATAAACTCAGTGAAGGCATCTCCTACTGTGTTTATATTAGAGATAATGAACAGTGCATAAAAATGCTGGCAAAGGGTAGGTAGACAGCGCCCCCTGGTGTCCACCATGTCTATAGTGAGCAAGTTTATTGTGAGCAAGTTTAATCCAGGACAATTATCAGAATGCCTAACTTAGCTATCTAGGTTATGTGGCTCTGCAGAATTCCCTAGGGAAAAAGAATTTTTTGAACTTCATTAGCAAGCTTATTTTATAAACCTTTCACTCTAAGATTTTATCACAAGATTTAAGGTTATACTTTCAGATTTATACCTTTTCAGGTAAGTATATTTAAAATTTTTTTTATTGTAAGAAAATAAACTTTATAGTAAAGTTTTTCTCTTTTATACTTTAAAATCAAACATAATTTTAAAAAAATATAATCAAAAATTTGAAATGTCCTATATAAAATATATAAAATCACTAACCACAGTGGTATATAGTAGAATCATGGGTAATTTCTTTCCTGGCCCTTTTATTTTTAATTTTTTTTCCCAGCACAGTGGCATGCACTTGTAATCCCAGTGACTCTGGAGGTTGAGGCAGGAAGACTGCAAGTTGAAGGCCAGCCTCAGCAAACTAGGGAGGCCCTACGCAACTTAGTGAAATATTGTCTCAAAATAAAAAATAGGGCTGAGGCTGTAGCTCAGTGGTGGAGCACTTTCCTGGCACGTGTGAGGCCCTGGGTTCGATCCTCAGCACTGCATAAAAATAAATAAATAAAATAAAGGTATTATGAAAAAAAATTCCTTAAAAATAAATAAATAAAATAAAAATAAAAAGGGCTGAGAATGGGGCTGTAGCTGTGGCTCAGTGGTTGAACGTTCACTTGGCATGCATGAGACATTGGGTTCAACCCTCAACACCACATAAAAACAAAGGCAGTATCTGGCTCAGTGGTAAAATACCCCTGGGTTCAAAACCCAGTACCAAAAAACAAAGTATCATTTCTATTGTAAAATACACATACAAGTATAAATACAAGTCAGAAAGCACTCATATTTTTGTTTTGTTTTTTAATTTTTTTTTAGTACTAGATGGATACAATATTTAAAAAAATTTTTTATATGGTGCTGAAAATCAAACCCAGTTCCTCACACTTTCTAGGCAAGTACTCTACCACTGGGCCAAACCCCAGTCCCAGCACTCATATTTTTTTATAAGGTGGCCACATGTACATTATAAACATTTTAAAATCAAAATTTGATTCATACTATAGAGAACATCCTGTTTTTTAATTCACATCACAAATGTTTTCAATTTTTCCACAAGCATAAATTATTTTTATAGTTCAAAACAAAGTTACTTAAAAAAAAGGAAAAAGTGATACTTAGTAAATACAAGGGATGGATATAGAGGAACAAGTTACCTCAAGGGAGCAGACATCTGAATCTAAAATGTGGGATACTTATACAACCTGAAAGATCTGCTTCTTTAAGAAACCTTTAGGGGGCTGGGATTGTGGCTCAGCAGTAGAGCACTCGCCTAGCACATGTGAGGCCTTGGGTTTGATCCTCAGCACCACATAAAAATAAATAAATAAAACAAAAGTATTGTGTCCAACTACAACTAAAACATAATTTTTTTAAAAAAAAAAAAGAAAAGAAAGAAATCTTTGGGAGAGTCAGACACTATAATCCCAGTGACTAAGGAGACTGAGATATGAAGATTGTAAGTTCAAGGCCAACCTCAGCAACTTAGCAATGCTCTACACAACTTCACAAGACCCTGCCTGTCTCAAGGGCTGGGGATGTGGCTCAAGCGGTAGCGCGATTGCCTGGCATGCGTGCAGCCTGGGTTTGATCCTCAGTACCACATACAAACAAAGAAGTTGTGTCTGTTGATAACTAAAAAATAAATATTAAAATTATCTCTCTCTCTCTCTCTCTAAAAAAAAAAAAAAAGACCCTGTCTCAAAAAGGGATGGGTATGTAGCTCAGTGGTAAAGTGCCCCTGGGTTCAATTCCCAGTACCAAATAAGAAAGAAATTTTTTAGGAGAAAAAGATGAGACATTTCAGGAAAAGCTTAAAGAAACAAAAAATTCAGTACATAACTTCTGCTTTAAACAGACAGTAAAAACCTATTTTTCAGACAATCTAGGAAATCTGAATATCATTTGGATATTAGATGATATTAAGGAATTATGTTAATTTTTTTGAATAATGGCAATGTGGTTATATTAAAACAACATGACTCTGAAGCCCGCTTGCACCTTCTAATCTTTTAACACAGTGAACTCTCTATAAACAATTAACAGTAGAAAAGCAGAATTGGGGTGAGATGAAGAGGAATCAATCATGTAACATCCAAATAAGATTTAAAAGTCTGAAATTAAATCTTTCTAAGCTCATATGAATTTATGCTCTAATCTGTTTCCCATAAATGAAACTAGGCTCCAGATATCCAGAGCCATGACAACTTGAGAAAACATCAGCTGTGCAATACAGAATCAGAGCAAGTAAAATAAATGACACACCAAGCTTTCACAGAAAGGCAAACATAGAAGCAGAATGGAACCAAGAGAAGCATCATGCTTCTTAGGAAGTCCAAAGATTCTCTTACTTCAGTATCAAATTCAGGGAATCCCTGCATGGTTCAGTTTTCAAATTTTTGGTTGAAATAATTTCCCAAAGAAAGTCTGCCTCTAGAATGGATTATATAGTAAGCAATCTATCAGGTTAACACACAGGTATTCAGACAGAAAACTCAAAAAGGCTTGTTATATTGAGATTTATAAATACTTTTGCTTCCTTTGGAACTGTGTAAATTATATTGACTTTGTCACCTAAAGAGATGTAAAGCTCTTCCTTCTAGTCTAATTTGAAACAACTAATTAAATCTTCAGTAGGGTTACATAATCTACAAATACAGACTGAAAATCCCATAAACCAACTATTTCTATAGAAAGAAAATGGAGAATAAAATAAGTAGAATTCTTTTTCACTTACTGGTACACATTGTTTCTTGCTCTTTCCTCCCCTACCCCCAAACCTTCTATCTCTTATGCCACTCACCATGAAATCTCTGCAGCAGGTATTCCATAAGAGAAGTCAGTGGCAAGACCAGAAGAGCCAAAGCAAAGGCTACATTGAAATTCAAAAAACCATTAACTAAATAGAAATACCAGGGTTCTGTACCTGAGGGAGAGAAAGAGGCAAGAAATCATTAATGGATGTTTTCAATACCTATTATAGTATCTGACTCACAATGTTCTTTGTTCAAATAATATTGAGGATCCAATGCCTCAAGTGACCAAGACTCTAAAAAGTCTATTCTCTTTCTATGCTCAGTCACATACAGTGGCACAAAATCAGAAGATGAGAAGAGAAATGGATTGGTTGTGATGTTTTAGATAGAAATTAATTTTTAAATATTTAGCTGTTCTTGGCTACCTATAGAAAATTTATCTATCTATATTCCCTTCTACCACATAAGGATGAAGAGTTCCTTCCAGAGGATGCAGCAATGAGGCACACCTTAGAAGTAGAGACCCAGCTCTCACTAGACATCAAACCTGTCAGAGAGCTTTGATCATGGACTCCCAGCCTCCAGAACTGTGAGGAATACATTTCTGTTCTTTATAAATTACCAATCTCAAGTATTTTGTTATGGCAGCACAAACAAAGACAGAAATTTACTATGAACCACCAAATAATTTAAATAGTTTAGGAAAAGAGCCACAAAGAGCTAAAAATTATTAAAATGCCACTTCAATTTAACTATTCTCTTATCACTACAGACCAAAAAAAAAAAAAAAAGAGTAATAAAGAAACTTGGTCTGAGATATTCAGGCCTCTGCCATCTTATTCACACCTTTTTGATGCATTTACATTCTAGTATCTTTCCCCTGATATGTTCAACCACTATTTTATGGTCCTGTACACAGGGTACCTATTTATATCACCAGAAGCAACAAATTTGGTTTTGTAGGATCATACTGAGATCAGGCTGTGCTCAGAAGCTTAGAAGATTCAGAATGAAGCAAAATGCTGAAAACACAAGCCTCACTCACAGTAGATTTCAATCTTTAACTCAAAATCCTTAAATCTAAATGAGAAACAGTCCTCCTCTGCACATTTAGCAGGTTTTTCATCTGCTTTTTTCCTCCGTATGATTACTTCAATCAGGCAGTGAATGACACWTGCGGGTTTTAATCACTGCGTGTTGTGACACCCGCCTTGCACCACAGCAATTTCCTGCAATCAGCATTGCTTAAAAGGGTAATCAGGAGGCAGAGGAATAGTCAGAAAAACCTGACATTTTTGCAGCTTGCACAGCAAAATAAGATTAGAAACCAAACTTCATAAAGCTAGAAACATTTAGGGAAGGAGTAAAAGGCAGGGGGGGGCATACTAAGGAAGAGTTCAAGTTCAACTTCTTGTAATCTTTGGGAAAAGTTCACTCCTTCCTGTCTAAACACAAAGACTGAACAATTAGGGATCAGGAAGGAGGCCAGGGAAGAAGGGAGAGCAGGGAGGTGAGGAGAAGACAAAAGGGAAGATGGACATGATCCATGAACAATACATGCACATATGGAAATGTCACAGTAAAACCCATCAATTTCTACAATTAAAATGTGTTAAAAAAAATTAATACTAATTGGATTGTTCAGCAACAGAGATCCTGACCCAGGCAAGAACATTAGGGATATTTTAATCTTGTATTCTTTATATACCACTCTTTTTTATGAAAAACTACTGGATGGTGCCATTTTCAAAACAGAAATACATGCCTTCTCTGGGTTTTAATTAATACTTAAAAACATAAACTGAGTCCTTTAGATTCCAGCTACTGGAGAGGAGAGTTTTCACATAACCCTCTCCTGACTATCAGTGTGGAGGCAGTGCTGTCAACCTTTAACTCCTTTTTTTCTTAACAGAATTTTGAAAATCTGTGCCTGTAAAGAAAACACAGAGTGACCAGAGAGAAAGAGGGTTATATTTTACACCATGCATTACAGATAGTAAGCATCAAAAGAAAAAAGCCTCTTGTCTCTTTGATATTTGCAAATATAGATTTTTTTTCAGAAAAACTATTCCACTTATACAAAGTTTGTCTCTATCACAATTTATTATACCGTTCTGTTTGAGCTGTCTTTTTACCTAGGTATACCACACTTTGAAGTATAGAAGCATTAAGTTGTGAGCTAGGCTTTGAGCATTTCATAACAGGCTGTTATTTCTCTGAAGGATGGTACAAAAATTGGGGGATAAGCCAAGAGTAAAGAAAGTTCAAGTGACAACAGTCTTAATAAACAAGGGTGAACAGGGACCCAAAAAAAAAGGGGGGGTGGAATTCTGTTAGCTAGTATCCTTCCCTACATATTGAGATACTTTCTTAGGGATACTTCCAGGGAACTCAAAACTAATGTTCAAAAAATATCAAAGCTAAACAATGCAGACAAAAACACTTCAGAATGATAAGCAGAGCACTGAACCTGTGCAAGATGTGAGGTAAAGCAAGCTGGCAGCAGGGTTTCTGCAGGGAGTGACTCACAATTCTCCCTTTTTGGAAAATGCCTCAATTCCTTTCAATCAAATGATCTAAAGGGTGTTTTGAAAGAGGCTTAAAGAAAGAATGATATTTACTGTTCAACAGATTGAATGAAGGGGAACGTTTTTATGGGTCTGATATTTAACAGGTATGTAGGAACTAAATTACAGCAAGTCATCCTCACAAATGTCAAATTTGTACCACCAAGAGGGAAAAGCCACCAAAATTCCACAGAAATGATTAACAAGAGAATGAAGGCTCCAGAACAGTTCTGGCTGGCAGTCAACTCTAAGCAGTCATAAGACTCCATTGGAGCTTTACTCTCTATTGCTGCAAGGATGGGAAACAGCAAGCCTTCAAACAGCAGGCATTTGACTTTACCTTCTGAAACTTCCTGTCCAGTGATCTGACTAATGTTGACAAAACACATAAACAAGGTTTAGGGTCCTGTCCTAAGCTGCAAAGTGACAGTCTTGAGTAGACCCACTGTTGATTTTGAGGGAAAAGTGATTCATTTAAGTGCCTCCCATACCTTCTCCAGGCCAATGAATTCCTCATAAGAGAGCACTTCTATTCAAAGACCAGACAATAAAACTCACCCACATCAACATCTGGAAACTTGAAACATTACCAGAGGCAAAAATCAGTGCCAAACAAATTTCTTTTCTGCRATGTTGTTTTACCTGTTGATCTTCGACCCTACAAATCATGTAAGATCTTGCTTATGACTTTACAATTTTAATCTATACCACTCTAAATTTCCTACACCAAGTATTCTTTACTTTATCAAAACATTCTTTCTTTCTTCAAAAGGGATCAAGCACAGTGCTCCTACATCAAACAGCTTGCTAGCATGCATATCACTCTGCCCTCTGAGCCCTCCAAGGCCAAAACCCTTCAAAGGTGCCACTTCCCCTCATTCCTTGGGTTGACTCTTACCTTCTACTACTCTGAACTCATGCTGCCTGTTTTTGTAAACTTATTCTCCTGTAGAATCTCAATGGCTAAATTCCAGGGTTTTGCTAAGGGTATTTTCAATTGAAAGAACACGGGCCTGGGAGTCAGACAATCCTGTGCTCTCATCTGATTTGTTCTACTTATTTAATTAAGTGCTGAGTTCTTCACCACTTCAACTTTGGTTTCCTCATCTGTGCATAATTTATGCCTATCTTTATCTCACAGAGTTTTTATGAGGGGAAGAAGACAGTTTGTGAAAATTTTCTGGCATATAATGTAACAGGCATTCAGTAAACAGAAGGCATTGTGATTGCTATCTGTGCAGAAGTACTCCTTTACTTTTCCCTGATTTAAAAACAAAGTAGTCAGCTCAGGTCTGGAATRTATCATTAATATATGCTATCTAGCCAAGAAAGGTAGAAAGTTCTGTTTGAAAACCAAGAACAATAGAGAAGGTAAATATTTATATTATTATAATCACAATGGAAAGAATAAAATCATATTGCTCATGACCAAACAGTTTCTACCCAAAATGCTCTAAAATGTTGTGTTTAAAAATAATTCAGTATTCAATCTTTTTTGCCTCAGCAGTCCCTATACTTTACACTCCATTTGTCTAAAATGACCCCCACCCCAGCATCTACTAGGCAAACTCCTACTCTTCCTTCCAGGCTCAGCTCAATCACTACATCTTTCCTGATACCATCAGAGGAATTTGCTCTTATGATTCCCTGACTCTCTTCATCCCACTGTACACATAATACACTGTACTATAATTACTGTATGCCTGCAGCCTTATGAGACAGTCTATTGAAAGGCAATTTATTCACTGTTTCTTCAACTGAAGTCTATTCATACAAAAAGTATATGTAGGCTTTTTATGTTCCTATGTATCAGAAGCAGCACTAAAAAATCTGTAAAACACTATAAGCATAATGCATTTCCATTTTCAGATAAAGTGTGTGCCTACAATAGCTAATGAGGCACTTGGAGCAGGAAACCCTTATAAAATAGTCAAAATAATACAAAATGTGCCAAAAACATACGTAAATGAAATAGAACTTCCAACACTGAAGATATACCATCTCACTGTTTGATAATTTTACATCATCAATGCACCTATAAAATAAGTCTGATATTTTCTGAATGGATTGACAATTATAAAGTATTTTTAAGTATTTTATATCTATTTTATTCCTGTTCGATATCAAGAAATCCCAAGCCAGAGAGGGGACATTTAAAAAAAAAAAAAGAAGAAAGAAAGAAAGAAAGAAAGAAAAGAAAAGAAAAGAAAAGAAAAGAAAAGAAAAGAAAAGAAAAGAAAAGAAAAGAAAATCCCTAAGTTGCCCAGGCTGGCCTTGAACTTATGATCTGCCTGCCTCAGCCTCCTCAATAGCTGGCATTATAGGCACATGCCACTGAACCCAGCCTACACTCTTTAAAGAATGAAAATCAGACCAAAACAATCTGTCAATTCAAAGATGAGGTAAAAGCTCAAAAATTCTACTACTGAGGAATAATTCCCTTAAGGCTAGCTACTACAGCATTGTATCAGTCCTATTCATGGCTGGTCTGACTATTTCCACTATCCCAACAAAGCTTTTGCCACCACTAGAACAGTGATCAGTTATCTATATCCAAAACAGGAAAACCTGAACCAAAGCCATCCTAGGTACACCAAAGCAGAACAGAAGCCCCAAGGACTCTTTCCTAGTAAAACCTTAGCTGAAATGAATAACAAATGCTAATTTCCAAAGAAGAACAGGACACTACTCTATTGGATCCCCAAACTTACCACAGCACCCTGACCAACCCATAGTTAAACTAGAAGTATAAACGTAAAATCAGAATGTATTCTTTCTTCCTTACTTCCCTACCAACATTATTATTTCTAGATTTATAAGCTTTACCAATCTAGAGGGCTACAAAAAATGTCACCTTAATGTACTCTAACAAAGGTTTTATAAATAAGCAATCAGAATATTATTCTATAATAACCCATTCATAATACTGGAGAAGCCAATTTTTCAAAATAAGTAGAAATTATCTCACCTATACAGAATGGATCTAGTTCCAATAGGGTACATGTAAACAATTTTTATCAATGCCATCTGGGTTTTAAATCTTCTACTGTCTTATAGATTCAAATAAAATCTTATAAACTAAAACAAGGAACAATTAAAAACATGCAAACTTTCCCTAGTTGAAGGGAGACATCTAGAGGCAAGAGCTTAGAATTATAGGCCTTTCTCAGATCCTTGAGGACCTTGGAACCATAAAGGGGCCTTTGAAAGTTCTTTCACTTAACAATTTTTCTTTATGTGATTTGTGAATACAGTTCACCAAACAAAGCACTCCTTATTGTGACCTATTACTTGCTATCTAAAATGAAAATATTTCCAAAATACCAGAGCTCAAGTAAATCTCACTTGAAGCTTCTCGTGCAATCTATTGGATCTACTTATACCGTGGCTCAGGCAAATGAGGGACATGGCTAGCAACAAGACTTCAATTTATAAGAGGCAAACAAGGTGACAATATTGACCAGCTTCATAGCATAGGCAAGACATTCACATATTCAGAACACTCTATAGATTAAAAGATTAAAGTAGAAGAAATTATACTTATTCTAATGAAAAATCTGCTTCTCTCATAAATTGTCTCCCTCCATGGCCGATCTGATCAGAAAAATCTCCAGCTCAAACCTATGTAGCTATAACTCATATGCCTTCAGGGGTCAAAACAAAACCTTGGCTCAACAACTGGTGAGAAAGGCAGGAAAGGAGGAGTGAAGATGGGAGTACACTGGAGGAAGCAGTCCAGTTTAAAGGCATTCAATTTTTTTCTCTTAACCCTAAATGACCAAATTACCTACCATCTCTTGATGACCCCATTCCCATTTGTTACACTTTGTTTACAGATTTTCCAAATGTTCTCTCCTAATATCTGGTATTGAAGTGATGCAAATTAAAAATATCTGTGTGTGCAGAAAATGTCTAGAGGTATATACTTCCAAGTGTCAACAATAGCCATATGGAAATGATGGGATGATGTTATTATTTTCTTTTTGTTACCACATTAATTTTCTGATAAAGGGGAAAAAGACAGAGTAGAGGCTGAACTCATTGGTAGAGAGCCTGCCTAACAAGGGCCTGGATTCAATCCTCAACAACAGAAACAACAACAAAAAAGTAGCATCAAAAGCCATGGACGTTCAATAGTTCTCAAAACTCTTATCTCTGGAAATTGGGAGTAACATAACAAGACAGAGGACTAATATCTTAATATCACATTTTTCAAGGAGAAGTATTTAAGTGGCTATATGACATCACTGTGCTACATTCAAATGGTTTTTTGTTTGTTTGTTTGTTTGTTTGTTTTGCAGTACTGGGAATTGAACCCTTTCTTTCATTTTTTATTTTGAGAGAAGGTATTGCTAAGTTTCCCAGGCTGGCCTTGAACTTCTGATTCTCCTGCATTATCCTTCCGAGTAGCGGGGATTATAGGCATGTGTCACCATAACCAGTCAAATATCATTCTCTTTAAATTTAAGGCAGGAAAAGATCACTAGCAAAGAAATGCTATATTTAATGAAATGAGATAACTGAATTAAAATTTTGAAGTTTAGGTAAGTGAAGCTATTTTCTACTCTTCCCCAAATTTCATAAAGCCTTACCATAGAGATCAGGTCCATGAGAAGTGAAGACATTATACAAAACAATGTTGAGTGGTGCAATGACCAATTTCCCATAATAGTAGCTGTCAATGACCACCACAGGCACCTAAAACAGAACAGAAAACAGAAAGTACAGGAATTATGGAGTTTTACTCTAGGAATATTCTCAAAATGCTGAGAATGAAAAACAAAATCACCTCCTAATGTTTCCTTTTCCACATCAGAAGTTATTTTCATTATGATATGAGAACAAAACGAGAAAAAAGAAAACTCACCAGAAAGAGAATTAGGGCCACCAGTGACCAACGAAAGAAACTTTTCCACCTGTGTTTCATGACCAGCAAATCAAAGGCAATGGGTAAACTATTCAACAGAGAAACAAAATGGGAAGTTATGTAAAATACTTAACAGGCCATATTCACACACATCTATGCCAAGTTGAGAATAAAATGTCTCTATCAGTGACAAAGAGGGAAGAATACCAATATGTGAGAGTATATCTTCTGAAAAATATATGATCTTTTCATAGGGACCTAGAGATCAATGTGTCCCATACATATACAAATATAAATACTGAGTTGCTAAACAAACTCCATTTTATACATATTTCTGTATAATGGACATTTAAAAGATATTAATTATAGAGTCTGGGGTTGTGGCTCAATGGTAGAGCACTTGCCTAGCATATGTGAGACACTAGGTTCAATTCTCAGCACCACATTAAAAAAAAGTCCATCAATAACTAAAAATATATATAATAAAAAAGATATTAATTATAAGCAACTGGACCCTATTATCCTTCACCGATCCCAGCAAATAAATACTGATCTTTCTCTTATAAGATTTAGTAGGCTTTTAGCAATATAATATCACAAACTCTGACTTCATTTCTGATATATCCTCTTCCAACACCATTAACTCTTCTTCCTTTACATTCCTTCAGAACTTATAGATAGCAGAACTTATAGAAAACAACCTAAGATACAATCTTAAAGATACAATAATTTTAGGATGATACAAAGAATAGATCATATTGGAGGTAGGGAAACCAGACTTTTAAAAGGAAATGAAGAAAATTTTAAATGACCCATCCTCTTAGTAATTTCCTGTTTAAAAATTTATGCCATAATGAAATTCCACCAAGTATACAAAGATGTATGTACAAAATTCATTGAAGGGTTGGGCATGTAGCTCAGTGGTAGAGTACCTGCTTAGCCTGTGCAAGGCCCTGGATTCAATTCCCAGTACCACACACACACACACACACACACACACAAAAAAAAATGTTCACTGAAACATTATATTCAGTAGCAAAAACTACCAATAAGGCATGGTTAAATAAATTATAGTATAGTCAGTTGTATAATAGAACATTATGCAACTGATAGAGAATGACATAAATCTGTGCTCAAGAAAAGATAAATAGCCAGGCACAATGGTATACAAGGCCCTAAATAACATAGCAAGACATCATTTCAAAAAATAAAAATAAAAAAGGCTGGAGATATAGCTCAGTGGTTAAGTACCCCTGGGTTAAATCCCCAGTACCAAAAAAATAAAAGGTATTGTATGTACAGAATAATTCTATTTATTTCAAAATGTGGGTAAGTATGTGTGTGTGTGTGTGTGTGTGTGTGTGTGTATGCCTGCGCATTTATAGACACAAGGATAATTTCTGGAAAGACATACAAAAATTATTAGCAGTGACTGTCACTGAGGACTGGCTAGAAGAGAAAAGAATTAGGAATTCCTTTTAAATCATACAACCTTTTTTTTTTTTTCAGTGCTGAATATTGAATCCAGGGCCTTTTGCATGCTAGGCAAATGCCTAGCTATCGCCCACTTTCTGGTACTTTTTTTTTTTTAAGTAAAGAAATACTACTTTTATAATAACCTTAATATCAAACTAAAATTTTTTAAATTATTAATACAATCAATAAGTTAAAGCAKCACAAATTAGAATAAAAGATATGAGAACAAAGAGTAAAGGAAAGGAATGAGAGATACAATTGAACTTGGAAAAAATAAAGCTGGAGTTCAACACAGTTGTGCACATCTGTAATCCCAGCAGCTCTTGAAGCTGAGGCAGAAGGGTTGTGAGTTCAAACCCAGCCTCAGCAAAAACAAGGCACTAAGCAACTCAGTGAGATCCTGTCTCTAAATAAAATACAAAATAGGGCTGGGGATGTGGCTCAGGGGTCGAGTGCCCCCGATTTCAATCCCCTGTACCAACCCACCGTCTTCTGCCAAGAACAAAAAACAATACTGGGACAAGGGAAAAGGGACTGAAGCAAATTCGGATTTCAAGCCTCGATGAAGAAGAAAATGTATAGCATAGTATGATGCAGTGTGGGGGGAAAAATATCAGTTAAACAATCAGAAAGGCCTCGATTCAAAAGCAAACATAATCTTAAATATGAATTACTCAAACTTTTGGACTCTATTTTTTCAATTATAAAGCACTAATGATCTCCTGCAGAGCTGTTGTCAGGTTCTGGAATAAAGTTTACAAGGGGTTTAGCAGTGCCTCAGATACAGCAGATGCTTAACAGCCATTACTCTTATTAGAATTAATCATAATAATAAGCATTAAGAAAAACATGCTTTTGGGTTGGGGTTGTAGCTCAGTGGTGCAGTGCTTCCTAGCATATATGAGGCAATGGGTTCAATCCTCAGCACCACATATAAATAAATAAAAGTATTATGTCCATCTACAACTTAAAATATATATAAAAAAAAAAAGTAAATAAAAACATGCTATTGCTTCCCAGAATCTTCATGGGTACAATCGATTCCTATAACTTTAGGTGATACCTAGATAATATGGAGTTAATTCAATATTAAGATTTACCATATGCCCAGGAATATATGAGAGGAACTATGTTAGCATCTTACCCAAGAGCCGCACTGAATGGCCAGCCTAAGATAGCCCCAGCTGCTACTCCCAGTACAGCAATGGCAGTCTTGTCCATATACCATCCAGTCATGGCTATCAACGTGGTATACATACAGAAGCTACTAGGAAGGAATGCTATAAGAGTAAAGAAATGAAAGGAGGGAAGGGGACAAGAGTCTAAGATTAGGTATCAGTTATTAAAAATTAACTTACGCTGAAAAATGTCAATAACTAGCAACATATTTTGGGCAATACAATACAAAAAATAGCCGGTAAAGGGACCCTCCTTTAAAAAGAATGTTCAATGATTTTCTTATTTTCTCACTCTTTTTAGGTATCAACACACAGCCCTAATTATAGACTAACCTCATCATTTTTCTCCTAGCCTGTTCCTCAAATCTAAAACTTATAAATTCCAGTTTCCCCAGGAATTACTCCAGGTTATATTTCCAGGCAGACAAATGCTTTAAAAGTCTTATAGCCATAGCCGACAATTTATTTCTGAAGAAATTTATCTTTTAATAGTTTCCTGAGACTGTCCTAGTTCCTAACCTGTACCTTACAGGAATTCTAGGAAGTCTGACTCAAGGACCAGACATTGGATGGCAGCACTTATTTTATTTTTCATACCAAGGATTTAACTCAGGGGCACTTAAAAACTGAGCCACATCATCAGCCTTTTTTTTTTTTCTTCAGATAGGGTTTCACTAAGTTGCTTAGGGCCTTGCTAAGTTGCTGAGGCTGCCTCTGAAATTTCCATCCTCCTGTTTCAGCCTCCCAAGTCACTGGGTTATAGGCGTGCTTGCTCTACCATGCCAGTTCAGCAGCACCACTTTGCATCCTGCATCCACTGACAAACAATCTGGTCTTTGGAAAGTCTCCTAATTATTTACATGTACCTTGTTGTGGTATACAGCAGAGGAATGAGCATATTCAGGGCTTCTGCAACAACAAAGTATTTCTAAAAACTCTGAACAAAAATGTAGATCTGAATAGGTGTAAGAGTGCATGCCTGTAATTCCAGCTACTTGGGAGGCTGAGACAAGAGGATAACAAATTCAAGGGCAACCTCATCAATTTTGAGAGACCCTGTCTCAAAATTAGTGGGGGCAGCATTTTAGATGTAGGTCACTGGTGGAGAACTTGCCTACCATGTACAAGGCCCTGGGCTCATACCTAGTACTGGGGAAAAAAATTCAAATCTGAACCTCCTGCTGCAAAAGATCTGATCGTACAGCAAGCACTAGAGAAGAAAAATCAATTGATTTTAAGAACTACAAAAAAGAAGCAGTGAGATTTAAGAAACTCAGAACAGGGTTCAGAGGCTCTGTATCAAAGCTTCCTTTAACTAATATGTGCCTCAACTGATTGTACAAAATTAAAGATATTCCCAGAAATCTCCCACACATAAAACTCAATTTTTAGAGTGGYAAGGTAACTAAAAAAAAACGTGAGGTACAACGTTCAAAAATAAATGCTACATAATATGATGTCATCCAATGCTATCAATTCCATCTACTGAGGTAGAGGACAAAAGTACAGAGGTATCCATGGTCTCTGCCAGCTTCCAGGATAAAGCATCAACAARTTTATGACAATGGATCTCAAAGTTATTCCAGGGTAGAACCCTGAGCTTTCCACAAAGCAACATTAATTTCAATATATTCAGTGGAAAAGTAAACATGTAATTTTGTGCCAGATACTATTTTTTGTGTATACTATATTTTGTATATAGTTAGTATGCACATTAGATTCTAGATTATACAAGCAGAAACTAAAATTGAGACAATGACACCTAGTAACTTAATTTTCTAGTTACTTAATTTTTCTAGAGAACTAGTAATTGACAGTATACCTTTTTAGCAGGCTGTATTGGTTCAGCACACAAAACACAGATGCTCAATGGCAGCACAGTTTGAAAGGTTTTATTCTAAATTCCTAGAAGCTAACTTCAAAATCAAAATAAATAAAAAAATAGAAGATTGCACATTTCAAATAATGGGCAGAAAACAAAATAATCAAGAAAAGAATTTTTAGGCCCAAAGAATAACTTTTTAAAAAATTTTAATATTTATTTTTTAGTTGTAGTTGGACACAATACCTTTATTTCACTTGTTTATTTTTATRTGGGGCTGAGAATCAAACCCAGGATCTCGAATGTACAAGGCGAGTGCTCTACCGCTAAGCCACAACCCCAGCCCTTTTTAAAAGTTGATAGACCTTTATTCTATTTATTTGTATGTGGTGCTGAGAATGGAACCTCATGCCTCACACATACCAGGTAAGTGTGCTACTGCTGAGCCACAGCCCCAGCATTCCCAAAGAACTTCTTAAAAAAAAAAAAAAAATTTCCCTTCCCATCGTGGCCAAGAAAGGAAGTGGGTGGTTGATGCAAGAATGAAATAAAAAGCACCCTGGTGAGTTTCAGTTATGAATTTTGACATCTAGTAAGTTCTTTTCACCTTGCTAAGTTTCAGTGCCTTCACCTGCAAAAATGAGAAAATGTTTCTCTTATTTATAGCACGGGATTGTTGTAAAGGTTAATCAAGATAATGTAGATAAGAGTTCTCTGCAAATTACTGACATTTTATACAAATATAACATATGTCTGGACAAGTTCTTCCTTGCAATGCAACTGCAAATCATGGAAGAAACTGCTATCCCTCACCTGTACTTTTACTTACCAGATGATGAACAAAACATGCCAGTGCTGAGCACCAAGAAGGCTAGCATCATTCGACTCACATGGAGCCCAAACTTTTTGCACACAGCCCTAAAAGGCAAAGACTATTAGTATCACAGATATTAGACACAGACATTTTAAATCAAAGAACATGTTATCAGAGATAATACTGAAAATTTAAAGTCAAATACAGAACTGATAAGTTTGCTAGCATTTTCATGTGCATCTTACTCCTGACATAGGACTGAAGTTCCCTATCCAAGAGGAAATACATACTTTACATGCTAAAATTATGTGCCAGGCAAGCACTCTACCACTGAGCCACAACCACCGCCCCAGGTCTCTCTCTTTTTTTTTTTAACTCCACAAATTAAACATTTTTAGATATTATTATTGCTTTGTTTGTTCAGATACACTTATGTGATAGCCTTTTCCTTGCTCAGATTCCTTATTTTGTCTCAGAGCTGCCTTCTGAAATCATTTTGTTTCTTTACAAGTACATCATTTAGAAATTCCTTTAATGAGAATCTGTTAAATGGTAAATTCTCTGGGTTTTGGTTGGTTGGATTCTTTTTCTTTTATTCCTCTTCTGAAAAGCCTTCCTTTATTTAGCTCGGTTGTGAGATGATTTGACTGAATATACAATTTTAGAATGACAGCCATTTTCTCTCAACACTTTGAAGACACCTTTTTTTGTCTAATATTTTTTCTAGTATTCCTTTATAGCTATTCCAGTAGTTCTCTGTCAACTTTTAACATCTTTTTCTTTGTCCATGGGGTTTTACATAGTTTCACTGATTTCTTTTCATGAATATAGTTTGGGATATATAAGATTTACTATTAGAGATTATCACTTTTTCCCACCAATTCTAGAAAATGCTCAGCTACTATTTCCTGAATATTGCCTCTCCTCATTTTCTGTATCATTTCCTAAATTCGGATGAGATCTATATCAAATCTTTCAACTCTACCTTACATACTTTTTAGCCTCTTACATAGTCCTACATTTTCTTCTTCTTCTTTTTCTTCTTTTGGTCTATCAGTACTATATTCTTTTTTTTTTTTTTTTTAGATTTAGCATTTCTTTTTTTTATTAAATTATTTGTTCTAATTTGTTATACATGATGGCAGAATGCAATCCATTTCATATTACACATATAGAGCGCAATTTTTCAAGTCACTGATTGTACACAAAGTATTTTCACACCATTCGTGTCTTCATACATGTACTTAGGGTAATAATGTCTAACTCATTTCACCAATTTAGCATTTATTTTAAGAATTAAACATATACAACACACTTTTGGAGATTATAGGAATATAAAAAAATATTTTAAATTCTTGCACTTTTTACCTATAGAGTGTTCTAAGACATTAAAAGATGTTTTTCTTTTTAATCAATGTAAGAATAATTGCAGAAAAAAGATGAGTGATTTTTGTTATGCAGGCAAATGAATAACCAGGAAGAAGGCAGTCCTATGAACTAAAATACCATTCCGGTACTTTCAAACAATTCCTTTTTGTCTGATGAAGTGTAACCAATCCCCCTATTGCCACAGTGAAGTTCTTTTGGGTGGTTGAGATCTCTCCTTCACTCTTCTTCTGGTACACCTAATGAAATCAGCTGCAGAGTTCTATATCTTAGGGAAACGGGACTCGGGAATGGAGAGGCATACATCTCCTCTGAAGACAGTTATGTCTGTGCAGTTTTCTTCTCAGGGCCAAACTAGCTGGTCTCTGTCCGTTGATTAGGAGAAGACTCATCACAAAAATTAAAAAAACACACAAAAATTGTTGAAATCTCATTTTCCTGCCACAAGCAAGTGGAGTAATAACTCTTAAAGTAAACTAAACAATCTGTAAATAGTCTGTGCAATATCTGTGTGGCTCTCCTCACATTCTAATGACAAACCTCAGAGGACTGCCAGCTGCATTTTCCAGAAAGGTTAATGATCACATCAGACAAGGTTACTGGTGCGCTGTAGTACTATATTCTTAATAATTCCCTCAAATCAGTCTTCCGGTTTACTAGTTTACTTGTTAGCAGTATCCAAAAAATGCTGTTAAAATTACCTGCTGAGTTTTAAATATCTATAATATATAAGTATTACGAATATTATATCAATATTGCTTATTATATAACATTATGTAAAATTAATAATATGAATATAATTATATTGTCATTTCTACAAGTTCTGGTTCTTTTTTCAAATTTACCTGGTCCTTTTTGTAGTCTCTTTTCTCTTGTTCATTTTTTCAGTTCCCTTTTTTGTTTCTTTAAATATACTAAATATACTTATTTTACATTCATATTTTAATGATTCCTAATAAGTAAAGTTTTACAGTTTAGCTAACTGTTATTTTTTTACTATTTATTTGTTAATTTGTTCTAATTATACTGACAGCAGAATGCATTTTGGCACATTATACACAAATGAAGCACAACTTCTCATTCCTCTGGCTGTATGCGGTGTAGAGTCACACAGTTAGTCATACATGTATATAGGGTAATAATGTCCTTCTCATTTCACCTTCCTTCCTACCTCAACACCCTCTCCTCTCCTCTCACTCCCCTCTGCCCAATCCAAAGTTCCTCCATTCTGCCTACCCACTCCCCCCACCATTACGGATCAGCACCAATTATCAGAGAAAACATTCAGCCTTTGGCTTTTTGGGATTGCCTTATTTAACTTAGCATGATCGCTTCTAATTCCATCCATTTAGGAGCAAATGCCATCATTTCACTGTTGTTTGTGACTGAGTAATATTCCATTGTGTATACATACCACACTTTCTTTATCCATTCATCTGTTGAAGGGCACCTAGGTTGGTTCCATAGTCTAGCTATTATGAATTGAGGTGCTATAAACACTGATATAGCTGCATCACTGTAGTATGCTGACTTTAAGTCCTCTAGGTATAAACCAAGGAGTGGGGTGGCTGGGTCAAATCGTGGTTCCAGTCCAAGTTTTCTGAGGAATCTCCATACTGCTTTCCCAAGTGTTTGCACCAATTTACAGTCCCACCAGCAATGCATGAGTGTACCTTTTTCCCCACATTCTCATGAACACTTATCATTGATTTTACTCTTTAGTGTTGCTATTCTAACTGGAGTGAGATGGAATCTTACAGTAGTTTTGATTTGCATTTCTCTAATTGTTAGAGATGATGAACATTTTTAATGTTTGTTAATTGACTGTATTTCTTCTTCTGTGAAATCTGTTCAATTCCTTAGCCCATTTATTGATTGGGTTATTTGGTTTTGGGGTGTTAAGTATTTTGAGTTCTTTATATATCCTGGAGATTAGTGTTCTATCTTAGGTGCAAGTGGTAAAGATTTTCTCTCATTCTCTAGTTTATCTCTTCACATTCTTGATTGTTTACTTTACTGAGAAGAAGCTTTTCAGTTTGAATCCATCCCATCTATTGATTCTTGATTTTACTTCTTGCACTTTAGGAGTCTTGTTAGGGAAGTCAAGTCCTAAGGCAACATGATGAAGATTTAGGCCTACTTTTTCTTCTATTAAGTTATAGGGTCTTGGGCTGGGGATGTGGCTCAAGTGGTAGCACGCTTGCCTGGCATGTGTGTGGCCCAGGTTTGAGCCTCAGCACCACATACAAACAAAGATGTTGTGTCCACCAAAAAATAAATAAATAAATAAAAAATAAATATTAAAATTCTCTCTCCCTCTCTAAAAAAAATAAAATAAAAAAAGTTATAGGGTCTCTGTTCTAGTGCTTAAGTCTTTGATCCACTTTGAGTTAATTTTTGTGCAGGGTGAGAGAGAGAGGTTTAATTTAATTTTGCTACATATGAATTTCTAGTTTTCCCAGCACCATTTGTTGAATAGGCTATCTTTTCTTCAATGTATATTTTTGGCGCCTTTCTCTAGTATGAGATAACCATATTTATGTGGGTTTGCCTCTGTCTTCTATTCTGTACCATTGGTCTTCATGTCTATTTTGGTGCCAATACCATGACATTTGTGTTATTATTGCTCTGTAGTATAGTTTAAGTTCTGGTATTGTGATGTCTCCTGCTTCACTCTTCTTGCTAAGCACTGCTTTGGCTATTCTGGGTCTCTAATTTTTCCAAAAAACTTCATGATTGCTTTTTCTAGTTCTATGAAGAAAGTCATTGGGATTATTATTTCTGCTGGCTCTAATTCATAATGTCTTACTCCTGTCTTTGTGATTACCCTATTTTGTGATTTACATTTATTATAATTTCTTGTTCACTAGGATCTTATATCTGGTAATTCTTTGACATCTGGGTTAAAGGTCCAGTTATCAACAGAAATTTTTATAAGATGCCTGGGGAAACTACAATTTAAAGCAAATCTTCAACTTTGGGTTTAGGGAACTACTTGGGTAATTTGAACTCATGCCCCAAACCATCTGAAGACCAACTTATGGCTACAGTTCTCAAAATCAGCACTGGCTTTGTTTTTTCCTCTATTCCACTGAAAGTCAAGACAAAAGGGTTTATTTTAAATCTGACATATTTAGCTGTAGGAAGATTTTTAATAATGATCATTAAGTTCAAATACCTTTGATACATCAAAGCATTACTAAAATAAGATGTTTGTTATATGCCATGTAAAAAAAGTGACTGATTATTCTTGTTTTTAATTATTTATTTATTTAGGTACCAGGGATTGAACTCAAGGGCACTTGACCACTGAGCCACATCCCCAGCCCTATTTTGTATTTTATTTAGAGACAGGGTTTCACTGAGTCTCGCCATTGCTGAGGCTGACTTTGAACCCTCAATCCTCCTGTCTCAGCCTTCTGAGCCACTGGGATTACAGGCATGCACCACCGCACCCGGCATGGGAACTATTCTTGTTATTGGAAAATTTAAATGCTTAATAATACCATTAACATTCAATCAACTGATAGCTACTTTATGAAAGTCAATATATTTTGTGCAAATAAGAGCAAAGAACCCTGCATTGGGAATAGTTTCTATCAGATATGCTCTAGGGGAGAGATAAATCATGATTCTGTAACTCAGAACCAAAAATAAAGTTCTATTAAATCCTACTAATGGATTAACAGAATTAAAATTAATAATATGAGGGCCTGGGGCTGGGATTGTGGCTCAGCGGTAGAGCGCTCACCTAGCACGGGCAGGACCCGGGTTCGTTCCTCAGCACCACATAAAAATAAAGGCATTGTGTTGGGTCCATTTACACTTAAAAAAATAAATATTTAAAAAAATAAATAAATAATGATAATATGAGGGCTGGGAATATGTCTCAGTGGTAAAATACTTGCCTAGCATATGCAAGGGTTTGGATTCAATCCCCAGTACCATAAAAAAATTAACGATATGATATATGAACTTCTCCAAGATGTGTATATATAATGAAATATATACATGTGTATACACACACATAGAAAAGAAAATGATAATTAGAAATATTCCTCTTCAACTGTTTTTGCAAACAAGAAGTTGCACTTCAGAGCTAGAAGGAAAGTACATTCTATTTCTGATCATTGCCTGGACTATCAGAGAAATGATCTATGCTATAATGAAATTTCTCCTAGAACTTTTTTTAGCAAAGCTTTTATACTCACTTGTAAAAGTAAAGTTCACAAATACAGCTCACAAAAGCCAGAAGACATCGCAAAAAGTAAAAGACAAGAATCTGAAAGAAACCCAGAAAAATAAAGCAGAAGTCACAGATAGGAAACAAAACTCATAAAGATGAAATCACTGTCATTTGTCATCATCAACAAACTGTTCTATCAACTGATACAAGTTTTTGAAAAGCCATATGTATAAAGAACCACACAAACTTTCATAAACCTAGACTCATGATACCTATTTCCAGCAGCAAGGGGAGCCATTCATGAAAATGTCAATTGCAATTAATTTAGTAAAAACTGTCTCAAAAACTTAAAAATGTCCAATTACAAGGATACAGTTAAATAAATTATGCTATGTTCATTTCATGAAATATTATATAGATATTAAAATTCATAATTACAATGAGAGTAGACAATTTCTCACTATATAATGCTCATTCACTCCACAAGCACTTCAGACAAAATATATTAAGTAATAACTACTCACAAATGACTAAGTGAAAATGTACAATACAATATTATTATACATTAGAATTACAGATATGAAAACTATATGTATATGAAAAGACTGTGAAGAACTATAATAAATGGTAAGCATAGCTGTGGCAGCCTGACGGAATTTAAGTTAGTATTTTTCCTTCTATCTTCCAAACTTCTGTAATGTGGTTTTACTAATTTGTATTAAGGACATCAATTTTAAAAACAAAAATAACAGAAAAAGTAGTTATACTGAATAGCTTTTTATACTACAGAATACATATGTTGTGAGAGCACTGAATTCCTCAGAACATAAGCACTAAATACAAAGTATGATTAATACAAATACATATAAGTTGGAAATAATTTCCATATTCGTTATTGTAACAAAATCTCAAAATGAGTCCAATAAAGTGATCCAAGTAATTCCAGGTTCATTAATACAATAAAATATACTATACAATGAATACTACTATAGATGCTATTAAGAACACAGATGTGGGGGCTGGGTTTGTAGCTCAGAGGTACAGTACTCGCCTAGCAAGCGTGAGCTACTGAGTTCGATCCTCAGAACCACATAAAAATAAAATGAAGGTATTGTGCCCATCTACAACTAAAAAATAAATGTTTAAAAAGAAAAATAAAATGAATACAGATGGGGCCAGACACAGTGGCATCCGTCTGTAATCCCAGCAGCTCAGGAGGCTGAAACAGGAGGATCACGAGTTCAAAGCCAGCCAGCCTCAGTGAAAGCGAGGTGCTAAGCAACTCAGTGAGGCCCTGTGTCTAAATAAAATACAAAACAGGGCTGGGGATGTGGCTCAGTGGTTGAGTGCCCCTGAGTTCAATCTCCAGTACACACACACACACACAAAAGAATATAGATAGCCAGATGTGGTGGTGCATGCCTGTAATCCTAGTGACTCGGGAGCCTGAGGTAGGAAGATCACAAATTCAAGACCAGCCTCAGCCTGAGTGATTTAGCAAGGCCCAAAGCAAGTTAGGGAGACTCTGCCTCAATATAGAAAATAAAAAGGGCTGGGATGTAGCACAGTAGTTAAGAGCCCCTGGTGGGGGTGGGGGGCTGGGAATGTGGTTCAAGCAGTAGCACGCTCACTTGGCATGCGTGGGGCGCTGGGTTCGATCCTCAGCACCACATAAAAATTTAAAAAATAAAGATGTTGTGTCCACTGAAAACTAAAAAAAATATAAATATTAAAAAAAATTCTCTCTCTCGCTAAAAAAAAAAAAAGATACTGGGTTCATTCCCTGATACCAAAAAACAAAACACTAACAACAAAATTTTAAATATATACATGTGTATACACACACACACACACACACACACACACACACACACATACATCTACATATACATATATAAAGAGATATACATAGATAATTTTTGGCGATTGTCTGTTTAAGGACTCCTAGAGGGAGTGCAAATAAACATTTAGAAAGTTAAAGATTAACATGAACTTATATGAGAATTGTATTAAGAAGCAAGACAACAATGCTCCACCTCTACTAATATTCAACACAGTACCTAGTTGGTACAAACACACACACACACACACACACACAAATAAGATAAAAGGAGTAGAATGGTGGAAACTAAATATACTCTTATAGTTTGGAAACAGTTTATCCAAACCATGCGGTGCTTCATGTGCTGGAAGCATGGTCACTGTGCAGTGATGTTAAGAGTGAACTTTAAGATTCTGAAAGAAAAAAAAAGATCGAACTTTAAGAGGGACCGAAGAAAACTAATTAGGCCATGGGGCTCCACTCTCATTAATGAATTAATGCTATCTCTTGGGAGTGGGTCCAGACTCAGAGATTTAGTGGTTGGTGCTAGAAAATTCACTTTACCACATAGCAAAAAAAAAAAAAAAAAAAAAAAAATCTGGATCTTTCCTAATTTATAAAAATTAAACTTCAAATGATTAGTCTTATAAGTGAAAGGTAAAATTATAAAGAGAACACATATAAATATCTCCCTGACCCACCAACCTTGAGAAAAAAACTGATTCAAGACTATATCAAAGTTAAGAATTTCTGCTCACTATGACCATGAAGTTAATGACATATGACACTCCAAGAGAAAGATGTCCAATATTTAAAACCCAATCAGGGAAAAGAAAAAAAAAAAAGAGCAAAAACCCAATAGAAAAATAAGCAAAGGACATGAACAGGTAATTCACAGGAAAGGAAATAAGAAGACTAACAAATATATGTAGAAACGTTCTACCTCATCAGTATCAGAGTAATGGAATCAAAATGAGAAGCATCTCACTTTCACAAGAAAGTAAAAAATATCAAACACTTAAGTGAAGTGACGAAGCTAGAACCTCAATTTTGTGCAGCCATATGGATAGCAATCTGGCAGGACTCAGAGGTAAGCCTAAGGATCCATGTGTGGCATTCCCTCCTGAGCGCACACTTCAGAGAAATTCATACACAGATCCAGAAGGAGATGATACAAAGGTGTTCTCGTTTGGAGTAGCAAGAAGTTGGAAAGGTAGCCATCACTACAGGTGTGAATTATTACCATACTCTCCCAGCAACAACCATCTTTCTCTACTTCTCAGCATTACTATATTGGGGCAAGGACTCTCTGGCAGATGGTTCTCTTTTGGTTCCATTGACAGAACTAACAGGAAGAAGGAAATTGCTGTTCACATCAATGATATAAGAGGGTAATTGAGGACTGGAGTTGTAGCTCAGTGGTAGAACACTTGTCTAGCAAGTGTGAGGCATTGATTGGGTTCAATCCTCAGCACCACATAAAAATAAAGGTATTGTGTCCATCTATTAAAAAAAAAGAGGATAATTGATATGAGAAAAACTATGTCAAACATGTCAATATAAAGTGGATATACAAATGGAAATAAAAAATGCCAAACACTGCATATATTTAGTTATCTACTAAGTCTTTCATCCTATATTTTCTCTCCTCTGACAAACTGAAAAACAGAAATGAGATACTAGGTAGAGGAGGGAGGGAGGGACAGTGTTCTGTCATTCTGTCGCTTTTCATCAGTGCTACCTTTCTGATCATTTTTTTTCTTTTTCTTTTCGGTACCAGGTATTGAACCTTTTAATGCTCTATAAATGTGGAGGAAAAAAAAATAGTCAAATCCTTGATAGATCCTTATATAATCTGGCCTCTTCCTACYTCCTCAGTCTCATCTAATCCACTCAACCCCTCTCTATCTCTTCCAAGACTCAAACCTATTTATTCAAGAAGACCATGTTGCTTCTTTCCAGGCTAAAGGTCTTGGTCTACAAGGCTCTTCCCAACTTCTTCAGTTCTCTAATTAGAGACTTCTGCTTTAAGGAAGATGAGCCTTTTCCCTATTCCTCTTGCTAAGTAAATAAAAAAACTCTGGATAAAATATTAAAAATGCACTCAAGAATATTCTAAAGATATAGAAAACACTCCAATCAAGGCTTGTCTCTCTAGCCTCAATACTGGCATAGAAGAGACACAGGAAACAATGAGTGAACTGGAAGACAGAAGAATAGAAATATTCAATGTAGATAACAGAGAAAACAGATAGGGGAAAAATAAAGATCAGAACTTCAGGGAACTGTAGGACTAATAACAAAAAATTCTTGTCATTGAAATTCCAAAAGGAGAGGAGAAACTGAACAGGACTAAAAAAKTACTCAAGAAGTTCCAAATTTGGCAAAAGGCATAAACTTAAAGATACAACAATCTGAGCAAACTCAAAAAATTCCACATCAAGACATCATAATCAAATTCCTGAAAACTAATCAGGTAAGGTCCCAGTTAAATCAATTATTCTTCAGCACTCTACTTAAATCAGTACTTCCTAATGCTATCCTACTGCACCTTGTATGCACCTTGGATGTATTGTCTTCCCCTGTAAAACCTACTGCCACTTAGAATGACTTGTTCAGTGTTCATCTTTCCCACTGAACTATAAGTTCCATGAAGCAAGAACTTACTTGGTCATTGTTATAGCCATGTCACAATGTCTTAGTAAATAAAAGCTATTCCATTAATATTTGTTGAATGAGGTATTATAAATATTTTTTTTTCCAAAAGAAGCCTCCTCTTGGCTGGGTGTGGCAGTGCCCACCTATAGTTCTAGCTACTGCAGAGGCTGAAGTGGAAAAATCATGCAAGCCCAGATGTTTAAGACCAGCCTAGGCAATGTAACAAAATCCTGTCTGGAAAGAAAAAGGAAAGGAAAAAAGGTCCCCTCTTAACTATCAATCAGCTTTGTCTCTTCTTCAAACTGTTGCAGAGACTTACCTTTTAATCAGCTATGATTGCTTTCAAGTCAGCCTGTCCTTACCTTATTAGTTTGTAGAATTCTTGCATGAAATGCAGCTGGCCAGGCATGAAGCAACAGGTAAGCATAGGAGCGAATGGCATACACTGGGGAATATTCCCAAGTTTGAAACCCCTTTCCGTAGATGAGGTAGTGTGTCTACAAGTGCAAACAGATAGATTCAGGATTATATTGACCAAAAATCTCTCTTAAGAGGATACACATAAAGTTTCTGAGTAAAAATATTAAAGAGACAAAGGTACACCAAAAATGCAAAATTCTCAACATCTGAAACCAGTGGATCAGAATCAAAATGACCCAATATTTAAAATATTAAGAGCCAGGCATGGTGGCACATGCCCATAATCCCAGCAATTTGGGAGGCTGAGGGAGGAGGATTCCAAGTTCAAAGCCAGCCTTAGCAACTTATCGAGGCCCTGAGCAACTTAGCAAGACCCCATCTCAAAATAAAAATTAAAATTAGAAAAAGGGTTGAGGATGTGGCTCAGTGGTAAAGAACCTCTGGGTTCAATCCCTGGTACCAATAAATAAATAAATAAATAAAATATTATGATATAAATTCTACAAGATTGCTGCTTGGTCAACACTGAAAGTTTAAATTTTACTCTTATTTTTTTTAATAGTCTTTAGGCAACAGACAAATTCTAAATCTTTTTTTTTATTATTATTATTTTGTAGTTGTAGATGGACAGAATGCCTTTTTATTTTTATGCAGTGCTAAGGACCGAACCCAGAGCCTCACAAGTGCTAGACAAGTGCTGTGCCACTGAACTTCAGCCCAGCCCAAATTCTAAATCCTACACTTTCCTTACTATCCACACTAACCATCCTTTCTCCATTTTTTGATGCAAAATATGATCAGAAAATTTTACTTGTGAATTTTCTTTAAAAAGAAGCCACAGGTAATGCATAAATATATAAGTCAAAAAACAGCATTATTCAATGGATCGATGGACAAAGAAAATGTGGTAGCTATAAAAATGGATTTTTATGCAGCCAGAAAAAAATAAAATCCAATCATTTGCAGGAAAATGAATGGAACTGGAGAGCATTGTGTTAGGTAAAATAAGTCAAATCCAGAAGGTCAATGTTTTTTGTCATGGAAGCTAGAGAGAACAAGGGGATCTTATGAAAATATAAGGGAGACCAACAGAATAGAGGAAGGGGACAGGATGTGAGGAGGGGAGGTAAAGGGGAGGTAAAGGGGAGGAACTAGGAAGTAAAATTGACCAAATTATGTTAAGTTTAAGTACGGAAATCTCTATTATATATAATTATAATGAACCAATAAAATATTTGTGAAAAAGGGGGAAAAAAGAAACAGCATTGTAAGCATATTATTTAGTAACAGTTTATTTTGGTACATCAGAAGAAATAACTAAAAAGATTGAAAGAAAGTGACTACCTATAGGAAGTGGAACTTGGACATAAGAAGGAGAATAAGGAGCTGTTTTTCCTCCGAGTTTTGTAGTAATTGTTAACTATAAAAACAATGTCCAAGTATTATTTTAAGAAAACATTTATTATTTTTTTAATATTTATTTTATAGTTGTAGTTGGACACAATACCTTTATTTAACTCATTTATTTTTTATGTGATGCTGATGATCAAACCCAGAGTCCTGCATGAGACAAGTGCTCTACGGCTGAGCCCCAACCCCAGCCCAAGAAAACATTTAAAAGGTAATTACAAATCACACTTCTGAGTAAAACACTGAAATTTCCTCCATCTTCAATAGTAGATAAGTCAAGTTTTTAGGCTACAAGAGTGAAAAGCTATTGTTCTAGTTGTCACACTTTTTTCTTGATTGTAGTAAGAACCCAGCAGCAAAATCAGAAACAAAACCCMAAAACTAAAGGAATCACCTACTGGTTCCCAGTAGTTGAATGTTTCATCGCAGTCAGAGATGTTGCTCAGGAGAGCAGCACATAACCTTGCTGAGAGCAGACACTTGAAAGCAGTAGATCCTTCAGGTGCCCAGACCTGTCCTGCTTTGTTTCCAGATAACCTGCTCAGAAGCAAACAACAAAACAAACAATAAAAAGCATGTGTCAGGAAGGACCTACTAACCAAAAGGACTAAAATTAGGACAAGAAAGGCAAGGGAGATCAAAGCACTTAAGTCATTCACCTAAGAAGGTGAACCGTTTGTTGTTCTGATTAGAATGTGTAAGGAATTAAGACTTTAATCACTCCTTCAACTTTGTTTTTAAGGCATAAGTTCATTCATACACTTTATTTTGTTGCAACTTCAACACTTCATCTCAAACCAACTACTCACTCACTTTAAGGCCTCAATGCTGTCATTCTCCTTTTCTTTCTTTCCTTAACAAGGTCATTACTTTCCATGGCTCTATTCATTTTCCCATGTGTTCAAATGAATAGAGGCCTAATATGTGCAAGGTCCATGACCTCTTCGAATTCCACGTGTTGACAGTTCCTAGCCTGCAGTCTCCTGGCTTGGGGAGAGGTGGCTGCGGGTGCTGGAGGCTGGGGGGCCCACGCAGAAGAGTAAAGGGGGCCTTCGGGGAGAATAAGAGAAGCTGTGAGAACAGCCTTAAAAAGCATACTCTTGATCCTGCCAAATCTCCCACAGCTCTGCCAACTCAAGACAACGAAGCCTGCCCACTCTGGGCCTGGGCCAAAGCGTCACAGATCCTTGTCTAGTTCTAAACTAGACAAGGATCCCGAGGTGTAGAGACCTAAGGCATGGCAAAAACCGAACTCGGACGCCGACCCGCCCGAAAGAGTGGAAGCACCAGGCTGGAGGGGCCGGGGCCTCGCTGAGGGAGGCCGCGCGGGTGAAATCCTCCAGAGTAGCCCCGACAGCGCCGGCGGCCGGCCACGCCCCCGCCGCGCCCGCACACGTACTCCGGCCGGTGCTCTGCGCTTCCCGGATCTCGGCTGCCCAGCAGTTCCCGCAACTTGTCCGCTGCTGATGCCGTTTCCCCGCCGCTGCCGCCACCACCCTTCAGGCGTTGCCGACCCCCTCGGCTAGCCATGGCTAGAGAAGGGGGAAAAAGGTAGAATTCAACACRCTACGAAGTCGGCGAGAGCGCACACATAGCTTGGCTGGCAAACGGTGTCCGCCGAGGGACAAAAGACCTTGACATGCGCAGAAAAGACTAAATTATAGTGTTACTGGCCAATTGGGGCAAATTCCTTAGAAAGGAAATAGGATCTTTCCCCATCATAGCTATCCCTTCCTCCTTCCAGCCCTGGCAGTCCTCCCCACTTGAACATTCCTCTTCAAATTTCAGCATTCTTTCTACATACAAAAATCTATCCTTCAGTTACCCTAATTAAATGAAAGCACAAATACAAAGTGATTAAACGACCCTGGAAAGTGAGTTGTGCAGAGAATTCAGTTAAAGATCACAGCACAACTGTCTATCACAGGAAAGGTCCCTAACAGCTCACTTTAACACCTTGCCCTCTCTGTATTTTGGTGATAGTAACAGAGCTAGTAGCTAATAAATGACTGCTTTTAGAGACACAAAACAGTAATGCCAGAATATGAACTGAGAAGTAAAAGACTTATGAAATTCTGTAGAGCAAATTTAACCAAACACAAGTCATTGTCATTAGGTAAAATGACTACTATGATGCCATAGTACTATTTTATACTTTTTTAATTTCTCACAATCTTGCTTTATTGAGAAGGAAATTATTTCTTCTCAATAAAGAAGGAAACCTTGCTTTATTGAGAAGGAAATTAAATGTTCCACAGCTAGCAAATGGTGGAGTTATATTCCAACTGCTGACTGAAATGACTACAAACCTATGTCCTTTCTACCAGATCAAGGCAAAGTGCTTGACTTAACAGCATTTTTACAAAGGCACATTGCTGATAACATATCTGCAACTCTCAGTGATCATTCATCTAATCCTAACACTGTCCATTCTCCAATCTCAGCATCTCTGTCCTGCCCTGTGGAGGTTTGTAACAGTAAGTTAAATAATTTACATAGGAAGTGTTAAACTTGATAGGGCCCCAGAAGATCATGATTCATAATGAAACTTCTCAGTATTAAAAAATGGAGATTGATCATATTGTTCAATTCCCACATGCAGTCCTGAGTTAACAAGGTCAAATATCCAACTTGGATATATCTAATATATCTGTTTCCTATTGAAAGTAGTAACAGAAAGAACATGTCATTAGAGTCAAACCCAAATGTTAACCATAATCTGATACTTACTAGCTCCATGACTTTCATAATGGTCAACCACAAAAGAAATACAATAAGAGAAGCAATGAGAAATAGCCTTAAAAAGCATACAATGATACAATGATAATACAATGATAATAATGCCAATTACAGGGCTGGGGTTGTGGCTCAGTGGCAGAGTACTTCCCTCCCACGTGTGAGGCACTGGGTTTGATCCTCAGTACCACATAAAAATGAATAAACAAAATAAAGATATTGCCCATGTATAACTAAAAGAATATATTTTAAAAAATGTTATTTTAAAAATGTTACAACTTACCAACCTAAGAGATGTTGATCTAACTCCCAAAAACACTCTCATAAATTGATTTAGTAAGATGATAGAGTTAAGGGAAGAGAACTGACAATGTGGAAAATATATTTATGAATATATTTGATAAGACATCCAAATTCTACTGCCTCTTCAGCAATAGAGCATCTGAAGTACAAAATACCGTTTTATTTGTTGTCTTATTCATTACTTCAGACAAAAATAACACACAATTCCAAGGGTCACTGATCATATTACAGTCTAAAAATTTAAATGATGAGTCATAGATTATCTTTAAGGTCAACCAACAATGATAGAGTCACAAAGAACATGATATTACAATATAAAACACAGTCCAGAAAAGACAACTAGTTATAAGTTGTTCTTTTTCTTTTCTTTTTTTCCCCCCCTTACAGTATTGGGGAATAAACCCAATGCCTTGGGCATGCCAGGAAAGCACTCTACCACTGAGCTACATCCCTTGTCCAAGTTGTTGTTTTTTAACCACACCAACAAAGGATCATACTATAAAAATGAATTTACTAAACTATCGAGGTATAACATGTAGCTGTTGTTGAATCTCCTTCCTAAATTGGGACTGCATTGATGCTACCTGCTGCTGGGTGAGGGCTTTATCACAGGTCTGGTAGGTCAATCTATAGCAGAGACTGACCTGCTCAGTCTTTGGATGATGAAAACGACCAAGGAATTGTATGGATATAATAGTGTCCAGGGACACTGCTCGAGCCACAGTATGAAACTCTAGTTCATCAAATCCTTTCTCCTCATTTAACCAAAAACTAATATCATGTACATAACATGGAGGATACAGGGAGTAACTCTTAAAGGGTTCTATTTCTCCAGGAACAAACTTTTTCATGAAACGGTTATCAAAGGTCCACAACATTCTCCAATCAGCGATACCCCAAGTAAGCATGGCTAATAAGTCCAAGTTTATAGACACAAACACAAAATAGTGGTCTTTATGTGTTATGTTTGCAGCAGATGAGGTGACAGACCCAATTATCAGATCCTTGGCACAATCTGGACCAAAATTATGAGACTTCACGTGAATCATATAATTGTTTGCATTCAGTTGAGGGACAAATTCCACTGAACTGTTCAGCATTGATCCCTCTGGCAATGTCTGGGTCAGGAGGCTATCTAGAATTCCTGTCAGGTGATTCAGCAGTGATGGAAGACAGCCATCCTTCAGACTTTGATTAAACCCAAGGATTAATAAAGTCTCATGAAACGCCGGCATCGTGAAAGGCAAAATGTGACACTTCCGAAAAACAGRTCCACTGAGGATATACAAAGAACCTGGGAGGAAGTCTGGTGCTTGGATAATGGCCTGAACATGAACTAGAAGAGAAGATCTAAGCCAGACTTTGGCCTGTCCAGAGATTCCTTCATGAACTTCTTTGCCATCTCTTCTAGGACTCTTGTAAATGCTAAGTTGTGAAAATAATACAAGAAAGTCCTCCATTTCTTTTGTTATTTCACCATTCAGGAACTCAGAATCTGAGTTATATTCGTGGAGATTGATCCAAAAGGAAGACATACTGTCACAGTTCCAGGAAGGGAGAACACTGGTACTTTCCAGTGGCAGCAAAGGGAAGGAACACTTCAGCCTTTTAAGAGGGAAAATTTTGCCCAATTCAACAATGAGTTTCTCATTTATGATTTTGATAGGATGACAAGAAGATGCTTCCAGGAAACCCCTATTTAAAGACACACACAAAAAATAGCTTTTCTCACTTAAAATAATAATTATAATATAGCTAGAATTGAAAGCATAAATGGTTATGCAGAAAAGAATTATCTTTGCCGGGCACAGTGATGCACACCTGTAATCCCAACGATTTGGGAGGCTGAGGCAGGAGGATCACAAGTTCAAAGTCAGCCTCAGCAACTTAGCAAGGCCCTAAGCAATTCAGTGAAAACTTGTCTCTAAATAAAATATTAAAAAGGGGGACTAGGGTTATGACACAGCGGTAGAACGCTTGCCTAGCACATGTGAGGCCCTGGGTTCGATCCTCAGCACTACATATAAATAAATAAATAATAAAGGTAATATGTCAAACTACAACTAAAAAATAAATACTGAAAAAAAAAAAAAAAGGGCTGGGGATGCTGGGGATGTGGCTCAGTAGTTAAGTGCCCCAGTACCAAAAAAAGAAAAGAATTATCCTTAAGTTTACCTGAAAGGAAACAAAGAAATGGTCTACCATAAAGAGAAYTATCACAGAGGATTTTTGGGGTTTTTTGTTTGTTTGTTTCCAGTTCTTGCTATCAAACCCAGAGTCTCACAAATGATAGGTAAGAGCTTTGACCACTGAACTACACTGCTAGCACAGGAGAGATAACATGTATTCCAGAATTCTGGCAGCCACTACCCCTACAATATGCCCTAGTGACAAGCATTCACAGCACAACCTCATTAACAGTTTATATACCATCTATTCAAAATATGATTGCCACCAAGATAATTAGGATACAATTAGAAATGGAAGTGATTTCCAGCAAAATAATAAGTTACCTGTTCAACTTTCCTGCAAGTGCTTTTGGTTCTGAAAAGGAAAACCACTGGTCTCCCAGTTTTATACTGAAGACTCTGGGCTGAGAACCTTCAAAAGGTAGGCTCCGGGTAAAGATATGATTCAAAGCACCTTCTATGTGAAAGGACTTATCTTGACTCCTGGCAGAAAAGACATTAATATGAAATCTATCATTATTAAAGAAAGCAAGTATTTCTAATATTTCTAGAGACTGGACTGAGAAATTGGCAGGGGAAAATCTCTATAGTATTTCTTGTCATTAGTGAGAGAGATGAACAAGGAAAAGGCCTAGGCTTACATTATTACTTACCTATATCCAGTGCATTTGTAACCTGGCACAGCCTCACACCTGAAGGGAAGCACATCACTTAAAATGAGGCCCCCAAGAGCAGCCATGGCAACCACTTGCCAACTGTTGTGCCATTCTCTCTGGGGCTTATCAGCAGAAGTTCCACCTTGTCCTCTACACAATGCCACATGCACTTCTCCTTCCTCTGCAAGAACATCTACACAGCTTGTACAGGGGAAAAAAAAAAAAACAGAAATTTATCAGAAACAAGTAGAAATTACCATAAGGGCAGTAATATACACACAGCTTAGCCTTGAAATAATTAAAACCCAATCATACTTGCAAGGTCTGCTAAACCTCAAACATATAAGATCAATGTAGTCAAATGCCCTTTAACAACATTCATCATCTGCTATGCATTTGTGTTGTTCATTAATATGTCACAGAAAGTTCAATATTTGCAAAGTTCCTATACATGATTCACTGCTTGGGCTGTTTCTTCCCATTTAGAAATTTTTTTCACTGCCTTCTGCCTATCAAAATTCTATAATACTTTGCTGGGCACAGGGACACAACCTGTAATCCCAGTAATTTAGGCTGCTGAGGCAGGAGGATTCCAAGTTCAAGGCCAGCCTCAGCAACTTAGGAGGCCCTAAGCAATTTGGCAAGACCCTGACTCAAAATTTAAAATAAAAAGTACTGAGCATGTAGCTCAATAGTAAAGTGTCCCTGGGTTCAATCGCTAGTACCC